AAAGATTGCAGTGTTTGAAGATGTAGATTTTCAGGAGGCAACAGTACTGTTGACTTCTCCCTCCACTGGACACCAACTAACTATTTAAGTTGATTTGCATACAAAGCAGAGCTTGCAACATAATAGCTATTCATAAAGGGTGATTTTTTTTTTACTTTTCATATAATACAGTAGTCACACAATGAGGCAGTTCATATTTGTCTCAGTGAATCATTAATTTTTGACAGACACCTGTACAAAATACTTGGACAAAAGCCAGCTAAGATTTTCTGTTATCTTGCATGTTTTATGAATCTATTCACGTCTAAATGCAGCCCTTTTTTTTTTGAGATGGGGCATTTGTTTTTATACTAAAATATCAGAATTACCTTGAATAAAGCTGGAAATTATGTCCCTTAAAATAATTAAACAAATAAGGCACCAATGTTTTTGTAAGATGTTTACATCTTTAATGACATTCGGTAGACTGATTCCCCACTGTTGGTTCAACCCCAAAACTTGTTTGTATTCAAAATTAATTATGACAATGCATATTTATATTGAAACAAACTATGATAAAGGGAATTATATTATATAACAAAGGGCAAGGTCACCAGAGTTCAACTATGTTATTCTACAGTCAGTACAATTTGTTTCTTAAATGCATTTTGTAATAAAAAATAACTTTGCAATAACATGCCTTGTTTTATTTCTGCATTTTTTTAAAATTCCTGTGCAAAATACAGAATAAGAATATGCAACTGATGTAGCGGATACATCAAGCACCACTGATCCAGAACGTCTGAGGTTGAAGAGAAGCTGATTGATAAGTGGACAAGGTTATGTCATGAAAGGTGCCAACAAAGTGTTTTTAAGTCAGGGTAAAGCTGACAACGTTGCCTATAAAATCGATAGAATAATTTTGTAAGTCGTAAAAGCTTTTCGAAAAGTCAATATAGCTGGTCGAAAAAATCAGTTTTAAAATCAACAAAGCTACAAAAGTAGGATCGAATGTTAACAAATTTAGATGGAAAGTAAGCAAAGTTGGATTGAAATTGGGTAGAGTTGAAATGTC